CACACACAGAGATATATATCTCTCTATATCTATAGATATATATATATATATAGAGAGATATATATCTCTATATATATATAGTGGGAAAAGGCATTTTCAGCCCTGCGCGTTCCAGTGTAGTGCGATTTTTTTCTGAAGTAAACTTTTTGTCTGTGACGCTGCATTTCTGTATTTTATTTTAAGTAGATGGTATTTTTTTTCTTTATCCCATTAATCAAAGTTAATAATCGGCGAACTAATCGATTATGAAAATAATCATTAGCTGCAGCCCTACGGACATCTTTATGGCTTTCTGCACTGCAGGGTCCGAAGATGGCAACGGAGAGACAGCGAACACAACGTCTTTTGTGGCAGTGTAGACTCTGGATAGGGTCGTGACCAAGCCTAGGTATTACAAGCAATGGTAAGTTTCCAGCACTGATTTCTGGAGGTTCAGGATCCTTTGAATGTTGGACAACAGGGATGATGCCAACTGCTCCCTCAGAAGCAGATATCCAAGTACCCCAGTATGGAGATTACCTGGGAGCAAAGTATGGCCAAGACAGGAGCCAGCACTTTGGTGAACGTGGGAAAGACACAAAGGGAAGAGTAACAAACTGAAAATGCTAGGTGCCCACAGGAAAACAAAAAGGTAGTGACGGTAGGTGGGGAAAATGGCGACGTGTAAATATTATCCTTGATATCCACCAAGGCCAAGAAATCCCCCCCGATTAGGGGAGGCAATGACAGATCAGGTGGATTCAATCCAAACCTTTTTGACCTGTAGGAACCGAATGAGGTTCTTTAGGTCTAGGATAGGATAGCCATCTCCCTTGACCTTGGGGACAGTAAAAAAGGTTGCAGATATGAAACCAGGATGAGGCAGGGAGTGAAACTCTAGCTTGTAGCCTTTGGTAACAACACTCTGAATTCACTCTGTGTTGGAAGTGTCCTGCTACCAGAACAGCTAGAAGTCTGAAAGACATCTCTTCACTTATAAAAATGAGGGTGCCTCTTTATTGCAAAGAGGGCAAACTTCCTGCCTTGACGGGATTGCAGGCCCAGGCCTTGTGATAGAACTGTATACCCTGTTTGGAACTCTAGGGGCGAAAGGAACTTTTAAGGGAGGGAGCAGAAGACTTAGCTGCTGGAGTCTAGGCTTCTTCTTCTGAGGCAAAAAGGTACTCTTAACCCCTGTGTTTGATTCACAACATATCCAAGGATTCTTCAAGGCTCTTCGAGGGCGAGAAAGTGTGGCGATTATGGACAGATGTAAGCATGAGAAGTGAAAAGAGTGACAACTGGCAGATAATGAAACTTGGGAAACCAATTGTAATGGGTTTGTCTAAGTCACTTTAGACATTGGATTAAGGCCATACCAAAAAGGACAGTTCCCCAAATACCACCGGATTTGTACCGACAGGGATATTTCTGTACAATAAGCAGAGGGACTGAGCAAGAGCTTTGCCGAGAAAAAGCATGACTCAGCAGTTGTAGAGGAGCCTATAATTGTGTCCTCAATAGTGAAAGAGGGGAACTGTTAAAGGATAAGACATCAGTAGGACAAGTGGATAAGGCCCCCACTTGTATCCTCCCCTATTGCAAGAACAATGATAAGGCAGATAGAATTAATAATCAATACTGGTCAATGACAAGGCTGTCATTTCTTCGGCTGCTGTAGCGGGAGAAGAAGCTGATGAAGTACGATGTATGCTTCATCAGTTTCTTTGGGTTCCATAGGTGACATTAAGGTTCTAATAGTCCCCTGATGACTCCATAAACAGGACCGGTCACATCCTCTTTGCCATCACATAGCCCCTTATGTGATAGCAATAAAGTGTAAAAAAAAAAAGATTTAAAAATGAAAGTCACGTGTGTGTGTGTGTGGATATATATATATATATAAAAAAAAAGGTTTAAAGTCCCCCGCCTTTGTTCAGTTAAGATACACTATATTGCCAAAAGTATTGGGCCACCCCTCCAAATCATTGGATTCAGGTATTCCGTGAAATTTCCTTGCTACTAAATATTCCATGGTCAACAGTTAGTGGTATTATAACAGATTGGAAGAAGCTGGGAACAACAGCAACCCAGCCACGAAGTGCTAGGCCACGTAAATGACAGAGCGGGGTCAGCGCATGCTGAAGCGTACAGTGCACAGAAGTCGCCAACTGTCTGCAGAGTCAATAGCTACAGACCTCCAAACTTCGTGTGGCCTTCCGATTGACACAACAGTGCGTAGAGAGCTTCATGGAATGGGTTTCCATGGCTGGGCAGCTGCATCCAAGCCTTATATCACCAAGTGCAATGCAAAGCGTCTGATGCAGTGGTGTAAAGCATGCCGCCACTGGACTCCAGAGAAGTAGAGATGCGTTCTCTGGAGTGACAAATCACGCTTCTCTGTCTGGCAATCCGATGGACGTGTCTGGGTTTGGTGGTTGCCAGAAGAACGGTACTTCCCTGACTGCATTGTGCCCAGTCTAAAATTTGGTGGAGGGGGGGGATTATGTTGTGGTGTTGTTTTTCAGGGGTTGGGCTTGGCCCCTTAGTACCAGTGAAGAGAACTCTTAAGGCGTCAGCATGCCAAGACATTTTCGACAATTTCATGCTCCCAACTTTGTGGAATCAGTTTGGGGATGGCCCCTTCCTGTTTCAACATGACTACGCACCAGTGCACAAAGCAAGGTCCATAAAGACATGGATTAGCGAGTTTGGGTTGGAGGAACTTGACTGGCCTGCAAAGAGTCCTGACCTCAGCCCGATAGAACACCTTTGGGATGAATTAGAACGGAGACTGCGAGCCAGGCCTTCTCGTCCAACATCAGTACCTGACCTCACAAATGTGCTTCTGGAAGAATGGTCAAACATTCCCATAGACACACTCCTAAACCTTGTGGACAGCCCTCCCAGAAGAGTTGAAGCTGTTATAGCTGCTAAGGGAGGGCCAACTCAATATTGAATCCTATGGACTAACACTGGGATGCCATTACAGTTCATGTGCTTGTAAAGGCAGGCGTCCCAATACTTTTGGCAATATAGTGTAAGAAAATTAAAGAGAGAAGCTGATTTGTTGCCATGCACAGCTGCTCCAGATTTTGTCTGCACCAGTTTTGATAAATTCCCCACAGGGGGGAATTTATCAAAACTGGAGCAAACAGAATTTGGATTTGGAGCAGTTGCCTGTGGCAACCAGCTTCTCTCTTAAGATGATGACAGTTAGAAGCTGATTGGTTGCAAAGGACAACTGCTTCAGATTCTGGCTGCTCCAGTTTTTATAAATTCCCCTCATTGTGTTTTAGAAGGACAATATGTGAGCCATTTATTTTAAGCGCTGCATATTGTATCTGTCATGTTTGCATTGTACTAAAGAAAATTTAGGAGGAAGTTATATTTCTCTCTGTAAAAGTGCCATGGATAAATGTGTGTTTTGGTAAGCGCTTAATCTTCATATACTAATGTACATTCATTCACTGCCACCAAAGACTGATATTTTCCTTTGTAATGACACCAAATGTTTGAACCAAGCAGTTTTTAACCCTCTTTTTCCTATTCATCTTAGGCCACTCATTTTGTTGAGATGACCCTGATGCACACAACAGTCTGAAGACTAAAATCATCCACATATTACAAAATCACCATTCCTACTCAAGCAGTTTTTACAAGGACCCACACTGGGAGTGTATCAGCCATACCTGGTGTACGAGTACTTATTATTGCTTCTGTTGTAAAGCAACTTGACTGCTGGCTGTAAGGAGAAGTAAAACAAAAATCAGTAACTGGCTTAATCAATGTTATTATTCTATAAGTACAAAAGCCATTATGAAAACAAATTCCAATGGTATGGTAACTTATTGAACAAATCTTAATCAGGAACAACAATAAGATAATATTTGTAAGCAATTCCTCTATCCAGAAACTTAGCAAGTAAAATATTTCACATTGAGCACTTAGAAACGCTCAGGCCTGTGTATAAGATTTACAATAGTCTCCTATGTGAAATCTCACATGAAAGCGTATGCAGGGAGCAGATGTAGTTCTACAGATCGGAAACGGGAAGCACTCTCAGAAGACTTTAAAACTGAAGTTTAGTGTATACATATAATACCTTTGCCTGTCTTTCCTGCCCGCCCCCCAAAGTGTAGTGTATACATATAATACCTTTGCTTGTCTCCCCTCTCCTTACTCCCCATTCACACTGAGCGGTTTATCGAGCGATTTTTGCAGCGATATCGCTCATATTTCCATACGATATCGCTCTATGTAGCTTCTCCAATCCATTTCAATGGAGCTGTTCACATCTCGTCGCTCAATATCGCTTGTAGCTCGTCTCTGGTAGCTTGTCGCTCCTACATGACCCTTTTTTCGAGCGATATTGCTCCTGATTGCATACAGCCAAATAGGAAACAGTAGTGCGACACGTCGCTCAATATCGCTCGTCGCGCAATATCGCGCGATTTTCATGTCGCTCAGTGTCAATGGGGGGTTAACCTTCCTGGCGGTATTCCCGAGTGTGGCTCGGGGTTAATTTTCAGTACCAAGAGCGGTAACCCCGAGCCACACTCGGGATTGCGCAAAAGTGTCACTTACCTTAAATTTCTTATAATTATTTATTATATTATAATTTTGTATTTCAAACTTTATCATACCCAGGATGTCTACTGGACTCTTATTTGGACAGATTTAGGTGAGTTATTCCTAAGATTTACTAAGAATTACAGGCCTACAATATAAAACAACAAATTGCCATGAAAAACAATGTACCGCTTTGGCATGCTAACATCCTCCATAATCATACCGCTAGGGAGGTTAATATCCAATAAAAAATTCTCAATCAAATAATTTTCTCTTTCAAGAAATACCTGTTTACTTGTTTGTGTGGTGGGAGAGGCTGTCACAGCATTCTGCCTTTACAGTTATATGAAAGAACATCCCTTTAGATGTGCCTGCTTCTTTCTGCTGGCCACTGGGTGCTGCAGACTTAAGCCGCGAAGTCTGCTGATTTGCAGACACGGCTAAAAGGGAGCCAGACATGTGTTCTTTCACATAGAGCTTGGGAACAAAATGACTGATAGTGGTAAAGCTTATGATGTGAGATGGGTACCAATGACAGTAATCGGGGGGAGGGTGGAGGAATCAGGGGGAGAAGTGATTGATGATGGATAGAGGTTGATCAGAAAGGAAATGAAGGTGTGCTAAGCATAGCTGCTGCAGCTTGAAAGGGTTATAGTGTGGAAATGTACGTTTAAAAGGAATTTACCAAATTCAGTTTCAACAGAGGATGGGACTTGCTACAACTGTGGGGAACAAGGTATGCCTGGAAATCAGCATTAATTACTTGATCGCTGGACTTTGAGTACAGAGATAAGTCATATAACCTGTAAATCAATCAAATGTATACATTTTCAAGAAAATCATCAAGATGGGAAATCTATATTTGAGGACACTTGTTCATTTGAACACTGTCTAAGAGGGGTTCCCTTTATTTAAAGAAAGTTTCTCTCACTTCCCATTTCTCCAAGACAAGGAGTTAAGAAAATCTTCACAAAGTGACACAGACAAAAAGTGTTTGACCTTTAGTTGTACTTTAAAGTATGTAGATCCAAAACACTAACGCTTGGGCACAAATATCCTGGTGACAACTGTTTGAGGGGAATTCCCTTTACTTTGAAGAGATTCCATCTCACTTCCAGTTGCATTTTTGGGACAAGTGAAGGAAAATCTCCATAACAGTACACAGACAGGGGTTTTAACTTTCCCTAATCCATCTTCAATGAAAAAGAAAATGTTAGCAATACATACACTTTAAATCAAACTAAGAAATCAATACCGACTCAAGGACTTCTCTCATACCAGAAAGTCTCAGATGAAATGTGGTCATAAAAAATACTGCATACGGCATTGCATTTGACTTGCATTTTCCCCACACTAATCAATTTTAATCCAGTTTCATTCTATAGCAAATACCGTATTTTGCGGTCCATAAGACGCACCGGACCATAGGACGCAGGGAGGTCCGCCGCGCCTTATGGAGCACTCGAGACTGTAGCTTCTGTGACAGCTTCTATGACAGAAGCTGCCACAGAAGCTGCAGTTAGTGACCGCTGAGACAGGTGGCACTGTGATTACAGCGCCACGGTTTCAGTGATGACACAGAGCAGGCGAAGAACGTCTATTCTTCGTCTGCTCTATGGTTGTCTCGATCGTCGCCGCTGCTCGGTTTTAATACGAGTGATCTCATTAGATCACTCGTATTAAACGAGCAGTGGCTCCTGCTGCTGAACTCGATCGCCGCCGCCGCTGCTCGGCTTTAATACGAGTGATCTCGTTAGATCACTCGTATTAAACGAGCAGTGGCTCCTACTACTCGCCCGGCGCCCGAAACTGCATGTCTCGGGCGTCGGGATTCGCTCCATAAGACGCAGGCACTTTTCCCCCCTCCTTTTGGGGGGAAAAAAGTGCGTCTTATGGAGCGAAAAATACGGTACATATACCTATCTGGAGTGAGGCTACCAAAAAAGCCCCTTATATAAAACACCTACCAACCACAATTGCAAGTGTTCCAACTTCTTGGTAGAACTGGAGGTATCTGACATTACAAGAATATTTGCTAGGTAATGTTAGTGGCTCAGTGCAGCTGCATATATATGCCTCAATTATAAAAAGCTACCACATCCAACAAGAGATATATACTGATATAATATGGATGATAGATTCCATAACTTTCTAAGCAACACTAAAAAAAAATACCAGGAAGAGTTTGGAGGCTTCTAGTTTTATGAATCCACTTCACCAAGACTTCATAGAATGTTGTTTTCAGTGAGAAGGAAAATTCAATGCACATATCTCCAATGGTCTCAGATATCCACTGACTATTCTCATACGTACATAACCACATTTATACACTGAAATTGGAATCTATTACATCAAAAAAAGCAACGGTTTTAGTTACTGATGTATGAATAATAATGCTGTACACTGAGCACAGAAAGTTGAAGTCTGGGTCTCTTCTATGTTTTACTCTCATATGACAGTAAACTCTTTTTTTCTTACCTTATTGGATGTGGCAATAAGCTTCTGCTCCTCCTTTGAGGATGTGATAACAGGAACTTTGCAGAAAGGTTCATACACATCTTTATTCTGCTAGAATAAAAAAACATGGTGAGTCATACAAGAAAATAACTACATCATCACAAAGTTTCAGTGTTTCTGCTATGCTCACATAGGTCTAACAGTGCCCAGGTAGATTTAAAATGAAGCTCCCTGATCCCAGTGCTAAAATGTGTGGACTAAAACTCTCCATACTAAACAAAGATGCGATTTGCCATGCAAAAGTGAAACGGCAAGAGCACTGTTGCCCAACCCAAAGCGTGACCCAAGATTACTACTGATTATGTGAGGGATTGATTGTGTAAAGGCTCGCTGCTCTCCAACTGCTTACACTTGCATTCTGTCTCCTGCCATACTACTATTTTTGTCTACCATTGTGAACTAATCCATAATTTCAGTTAGGTAGAACAAAGGATGCTCTTCATTCCACAATGCAGCGCTGAGAGAGGGCTAATTGGCTATTACAGGGGATGGAGTAGGGTGTTAGGGTCCACTGGCTTGTAGAAACTCTGACCTGATAAGCTGAGCTCAGTCAGTCTTAGCCATGGCAATAGTTAGGAAAGATCTCTTAGCCTGGGTCCGGGGTAGCTGCGATTACTTAGCTGAGGAACACATTTTGCTGCTCATCTTGGAAAGCCTAAACACATATGCTATGCTATTTGAATCAACAGGGATCATTTCATTGCAGTCCTCTTTGTTGCTCGGTTTTCTCCTGTGGACCCCTAGGGGGAACCAAGGCTGTGACAATTGAAGCCTCTGCAGACCTGTTTTGCTCACTTCAATGGGAGAATAGCTGCTGCTATTATATATTCATATATGGTTATAATCATGCACAGCTTATGTTCCTCCTGATGAAGCCACGGCTGTGGTGAAATGCGTAGAGAATTTTCCACAACAGTAACCGTCCATTGATTCCAACTAAGGACTCACTGATTATAACTTATGTCAACACAAAGGGGAAAGAAGGAGTTACACTTATAATAACAAATATCAAGACAGATCTCCCGGGTTTCAAAGATCATATAAAGCATATAACTTATCTCTGTATAGGAGTATACGAGGTTTATGCTTAACAAGTTTAGGCTAAGCACCAATATGCATATGTTTTTATGTTCCGTATTTTTAATGTCTTTAATAAAATATGATATTTGTACACAATTTTCTGATTCATAATTGCCTAAAAAGCCCTCCATGACTTCCAGCCCTTAGCCTTTTGGCTTCTGAACTGTCTCTTTTGTCTACATATTGCTTTATGGGTGTGGATGTAGGACCTTCCCCTCTTGAACATAATCTTATTATTTAGCTGAGGAACAAAGTCTGTCCATACTTTTGAAAAAAGTATGTTATGAGTAACTTCACAAAGGAAACAGACTTAAAGACTTCCCATAAACAATGAAATGTTAAAACTAGACAATGAATGCAATGGCAGTGACATAAAATGATGTTTGATAAAAGCAGCACATTCATATTTCACTGTTTACGTGAATTCCTAGGAACATGCTTCCTCCTATGAAATCTATATACATTTGTATTGTTTCTTGTTGCCAAGTGCTTAGATCTCTGTGATAACGCTACCTGGAGAGATGCCTGACACTCATCTGCCAGCCCTTGCACCAAGTAATACTTTGCTTCTGCCAAGAGTTCCTCAATTTCTCTCCGGCTTTCTGGAAGAGGAACAGCTCCATCACGCAGGTAGTTTAATATCGTCCCAAAATGTTTGCCACATCGATCAATTAGAATCCAACCTGCACAAAACACTTATCAGTATCCATGCTTTCATTGCTTTGTTTCTTCAATTACAGCAACAAAATTAAATAAAACTGGACTGGAGAATTTCTCTTTATTCTTATCCCATGTAACAGCATTATAAATGTTGAACACAGTGTGTGTGTGTGTGTACACGTACGTGTGTGTACGTACGTACGTACATATAAAACGCTGTTTGCCGTTTACACCGCTCTATTACTTAGGTTAGGGTTTCTTAGCTTCTTAGGGGGTTCAAATTTCTACTTGCTTCTCCATCTTTGTAATGTTAGGAGGGGTTGTGAAGGGTATGTTAACCCCGTCTGTGCTGTGCTGGCTTTTTTCATTATCATTTGTAAAGAAAATATCAACACTGCCTGTCTTAACAAATTTGTCCTAGATTGTTCACTTCTCCCTCCTTCTCTGGACTTTTCACTCTTATGTGAATCTTTCTATAAGGACAGATTACTGTGAAGGTGATCAGAAAAAAACATGCATTCATTTATTTTGGCTGCTGCAATGAAACATCTAAAAAGGTTAAAAAAAAAGATTTGTAATATAGAGTAATCCCACGTGTGCATGAGAACATAAACAAAGAGGGGTTTTCTCACACTGGACTGCAAAAGTCTCACGGGGGGAGAATTTCCCCCCCACTACATCTTTTAGTATGTATGAACAGGTGACTAGGAGCAAGAAAATGTATAGGACAAGGTATTAACAGTTTATTCAAACACATTTACCAGTATTCAGGATTAGCAGTGCAATACAACAGATTTAAGACTGCACTGGAAAATGACAGTTGGAAAGTTTCTATGGTTCAAATCTGAACAAAAGCTACAGAAGTTCTTTTTAGAATGCTTGGGAAAAAAAAATGAAAGAAATGTTTAGTGTCCATTCATACCAGATGCTGCCCTAATCGCACAGCGTCCAGTACTGATCCCAGCACATCGCACTGTGCACTTTTTTGTTACAGCTTTTTTTTTTTTAAATGTCACAAGTGACATTTCATTCAGTTCTATAGGCACAGTGGGGTGCAAGGTGGTTCTACCGTGTCACATCCCGCTGCATTGAAAAAGTAAGGCCTTACCTTTTTTTTTCAGCATACACCACCACATTCCTACCACAACGGGGTGGTGTGAATGCACACCATCCCTAACAAGGCAAAATGCCTCCTCTTGCGTTGGGGCTTCGCAGCTTCAATGCAGATGGTGTGAATCGGCCCTTACTGATTAATACAAAATACCTGTAGTATAATCATCCAGTCACACTAGCTAGTGCACGGAGACAGCTCTGGTAGTGTACATTGTATCACTGTTTATATTTGTTTTAAACATTACTGGTATAGTGGTGACCTGTGCTGATCCAGTGCAGTACAGGGTAGGTCACCGCTAGATGTGTGAACGGACCTTGAAACACATTAACAATAGCAATGCAACTGGAATTTGTGCTTTCATACCTTCACTGTCTGTTAATACTTCCATTCTCCCACTGAACATTGCTTTGAGCATTGTGTCTTGCTTGGTGAGTGTCTGCATGGTTGTGTAGTACAGTGCACCACCCACATTCAGCTTCACATACTTTGAACTGGTGCTGGCACACTTAAATGAGGTGGTCCTGGTTGTAGCTGCTGGCACCACAGTACTAACCACACTCTCTCCCGACATTTCTTCCTGCAAGTAAACGGACAGAATTCATATACATAAAAAGCAAATAATAATGTTTATATGGAGATTAGTATAGTCAAAGGTCTGTAATGAACTAGTAAGTGGTTCTAATGACCTCTATACCAGGGCACTTTATGGGGGAACATTATGGCACTACAGGGGTGCAAAATGTACATTTTTGAAAAGTAAGATGGCCCCTCTTGGCAAAAGGTAATTACACAAAAAAGTCACAACATATGCTGCATGACATCAACTTTGCCAGTATTAAAGTGACACTATACTCAGGAGTTACATCTTAAAAATGCATTCAAGTATCCTAATTATTAACACAAATGTATCTTATTTGTGTATCACACAGCTGTAGATCTTCAAATCATCTCTGAATTGGTGCTGACACCTTCCTTCTGGAGGGTGACAGGTCTCTGTGTGTGTTGTAAAGTAGTCACCTCTCCAAGCTCACTCCTGTGATGGACTACAATCTCAATACAAATAAACTAAAAATGAGATTGTAGTCCATCACAGGAGTGAGCTTGGAGAGGTGACTACTTTACAACACACACAGAGACCTGTCACCCTCCAGAAGGAAGGTGTCAGCACCAATTCAGAGATGATTTCAGGATCTACAGCCAAGTGATACACAAATTAGATACAGTATTGTTAAAGTATAATTAAACCCTTGGGGTTCTTTGCATGTATCTACGGCTAGTAAGCAGTAGGTATATGCAAATACATTAAAAAAAAAAAAAAAGTGACCAAAAAAAGGTTAAAACTTACCTGTGTCTCCGCCCCGCGCTCCCGTCTGAAGATTCTCAGGCGGCCTGAAAGGATCATGGGGCGGGCGCATGCGCAGTAGAGATGTTCGGCCAGGAGAAGAGGAGGAGAGACACAGGGTAAGTCAATGCACTCAGCCCGACAGCGTGCACGCGGACTGGAAAGAAGAAGATGATCGGATCAAGAGGCATCATTTAAGGCAAGTCCCTATAGAATGGACAGCCCGGCCTCACAGATTACAGCCAGACAGGAGTCACTGTCAGTACTTTTGATAGGCAGAGTTAGATCAGATCTCAAAACTGTGTCTTTACCCATGGCTCAGCGCCCCATTTGACAGCCAGGTGCGCTCGGGGGAACCCTAATTC